TTGTAATTCCGTTTTGTGTGTATCCCCCTCCCCCCCCCCCCACACACACACATACCTAATTGCCGAATATATCGTCTGTCGTATCTATGTCCACAATGGACGTAAAATGCAGGTCATGTGCCTAAAATCCTGGACGCAAAAGCTCTTCGTACGCAATAATAAGTCAAGAGCAAGACAGTTTAATCCCGCCCTTCCCCTTTGTATTCTATTCGCAGAATCTGCCTGCGATTTTTATTCTTTTAAGAAGCTTTTTAAATTTAATATATTAAAATCATAAGTTTTTTTTAATTATTATAATTTTATTCACTTTATTTTAAGTTAAATTTATATCCAACAGAGATTATTTCGTAAAAATGTAATTAATGAGAAAAATTTTAATTATATTTTTAATTCTCACTTAATCCAATGACCGCATACGATTGACGTCGATGCCGCATAATCCGGCCAATGGTGCAATGATGTTCGCATATCATTCAGATATTATTAATAATCACAACGTTCTCGCAGCTTCGATCGCGACGCGAAATAACGAGCCTCGTTAAGCGATCGGAACAAGGACCTTCTCGCGGGAAACTCTCGCGGTAAAACTGCGATTCAGACGCATCGAGATGGTACGAACGAATTGGGACAATATTTAAAGGCCGCATCGTACACCGGTCGCATTCACGTGTCGAGACTTCTGTGGCGGGAAGTTTCCTACTCTCGTTATCCGGGAATCGAGCGAACTCTTCTCGCCAAGTAAGGCGTAACGACCAAACTGGCAACGCCAAGTGGATCGTCGACTCCGAACACTTTTCCATAGCTTTCCCGCAAAAACTCGCCTAACCATCGTCGTGAGATTCTTGAAAACATTCAACTCGTGAGGGAACAAGTATGTGGACAGCGGAAAAGTACGCGAATACAAATAGACACGACGAACGAAAGGCGGAGACAGACTTCTTCCGTCTCTTTGCCAAGACTCGCTCGTCGACTTAATCTAATGTAACATCTCGAGCTTCTTCCGTCATTGTCGTTGGTCTGTCCAAAGCATGAAGAAATCATGCTGTAAGTTACCGAACGACCGCACTGTTCGTCCAAGAGGAGAGAGGAAAAAGGAGAGAGAATATGAATAAATGAATCGTTGGTTCGTATAGTGGGCCGTACTAAGCCGCAGGACAGCGAAGTAACGAGGGAAAAAGATGAAGAGAGTGCAAAAGCGTGAGCGATAGAGAAAGAGAGAGAGAAAGAGAGGGAGGGAGGGAGAGAGATAGGGAGGATGCAATGGGTGAATAAAAGCTATGTCGAGCAGATGGCTGGTGCGGCCATTAGCTAATGGATCCCTAACACCAGTCTACGAGAGTCATCCGCCACGAGGCACAAACCGGTAGGTGGATGCGTCCATAGGTGGTGGCGGTGTAGGGTAGGTACCCTACACCCTTTCGCAAACCACCGCCCGACCGCGCCAAGTCGACAGAATTGCGCGATTGCAGCTGCGCTAAATCACAAACGGATCGGCGAATGGCGCGAGCTTTTCCGGCGTCCCGACGTGTCGTTCGATTCGATCGACCTTGCCGCACGAAAATAACGTTGGCCGACGTAGTAATCCCCCGCACGTGTCCCACTCTCCTTCGCGCGACTACGTATAATTTCCAATCACTTTACGTATCGTTCCATCTCGCACGCGCGCGAACGGCGTGTATCGATGTTTCGTAAATAATAAAAGTCGAGCGAGTGTATTCTAAATAAATGATATCCAGCCGGATGAACGCCTCCCCGCTGCATCCAGGTAAAAATGGACCGACTCCCGGAGATCGATAAACAAAGTGGCTGTCGTAACTCAGAAATTATTAGAGCACACTTTCTAGCGTTAGATGGATATTGTTACTATTCTGTTTTAAGTGCCTTAAAAAAAAATTGGTATTCGTTTAAATATTCTTTTTCTCTCTCTCTCGCGTCGCATAAAATATTTAAAAATCTGCATTGTAATATTATGAATCTCGACTCTACTTTTCTCTGAAAAATTTTGTTTCAAATTTATTTGTAATCTTTTCTTTTTTAAATATGTAATATTTTGACATTTTAGAGCATTAAATTATTAAGAATTAAAAGTAAGGATAAGAGAAATACATCTCGTTTCCGTTGTTTCGCTATCGCTTTTCTCACCGACATTATCTCTTTCGATACTCAAGAGAAGCGCACGTGCGTACACAAGCGCTTCCACAGAGGTTACGGAGGCGTGACGGCGGTGTAAGGGGCGCGCGACGCGATTCCGGCAAACTCCCAATTACCTAAAATACACCCAACGCACCGTCCCTTGATCTGTATAATTAACGCGCTGATCGTGCCGCGCGACCACCGGCGCGTGAGCGTGAAGCGCGTCGCTTTCCAATTTGCGAACGGCGCTGCATTGTCGCGCTACGAAAGCAATCGTTACACGCGATGATACGGCTGACGCGTCACGGCTCAGCAAGCGTTCGTTAATTGAACACGGCGGATTAAAATCCGCGGCGACTCTCGCGTTACAGTTCCCAAGGAAATCGATTGGAGTCATTGACTTTTCCCGCGTCCCGCAAATCGCGATGCAAATTTAAAATCACTTGTCGATTATTGAATAATATAGAAGATAGATAAATTTCATTTCGGATTATAATATCTTTATAAAACGGTAAGATTATTCCAGATTATTTGTGCGAGTCTAAATCATATATTCTGCAACTAAATTTTTTATAAAAATCCCTGTCTTACACTTTCATAAGATAATAAGTCACCGGCCCTTCAGAGTTTCATCATAAAATTCTCTTATGAAATGTTAAAAAATGGAGACGGTAAATTTTCTAATATTATTCCTCATATTTCATTTCAATATTAAATGCTTATTATTTTTAATAAATCGAAAATACTTAAACAATTCCACACATATATGCTCTCTTTATATATCATCAAAGCAAAAAAAAAAAAAAATTATTAAAAAATATTAAGTGATAAATAAAACAATGAAAAGTTATTTAAACCAAACGTTTGCTCTATAATAAGCAGGAAAAAATTAAGACAGAGATAGATTAGATAAATAGATTAGAGTTATAATCGCATATATGCGAGAAAGCTTCTTTCGGTATAATATTCTAATAAGATTATCAGAGAGAGAACGCCAGAGAGATTTTCACTGTAATGCGCAATGAATGTCTTTAGAGTCAATGTAACGTGACATAACTAAAGCAAACATGAGCGGTATAAACCTGCAACTGTCATCCGTACGGCGGTTCGCGGCAAATTCGCGTTGTCGGAACGTTAATGTGAAAATGTATCCTATTACAACGCTCTGCGGAAACGTGGTAGGTACTCGTAGATGGAGATAGGGTTAACCTTGGAATACAGTCGCTCGTCTCTACGAGGCGTCTTAACGTTTTGAAACGCCGTCGCTAAATATTCATCGCGTTGAAATGTAAGCACCGAATACCCGCGTTGCGCAGTCAACAGCCGTTTCTAAGCCGCTCTAATCCGGCATTTCACGAGTAACGAAATTAAAATTGCACCGCGATTTTCGTCCGCGACGACGCGAATTGTCTTCCACCTCTCGGGTCTTACTGCTAAGACGCAAGAGATTCGCGTAGGTAGGAAAAGTCTTGAAAAGTTATCTCGACTATTCGCATTTGAGATAAAATATACAGAGATGTGAAAATTTGCAGAATTTTTACGAACACGTTCAACTTCATTTTCTTTCCTTTGTCAACGTATATTCTTTGACGGATTTAGAGTCGAGAGTTTTTCTTAGAAAAAAACTTGTGTATGTGTGATAAAACATAATTTTTCAAAAGCATAATTTTTCGAAACTTTTTTTTATATTTTCCATATTTGATATTCTAATATAATTTAAAACTCAAATTATTTTTGATTAAACTATACAATTTATTTAAAATTAATTACAAAATAAAATTGTATTTGTTAAAGTTTGTTCTTGATATTTTCAATCGCTTTGAATAAAACAAGTTATTGATATCATTGATATCTCGTTGAAATAATGACTCTTATAATCTTTTCTATTCGGAAGAAAAAGCGATAAATCTGAGGCAACCTATATCGTTAGAAGAGATAACTTTATTGCCGTGTTTCTGAATTAATGCCACGACACAGCATGTTTATAACGATATGAACCCAAACAAAACTACGCGGATATATGAATAATTACACTGTAGAGAAATTTGCTAGACGGAGGACTTGGATTCGCTTTTAAACTTTCCGAAGTGCGAACTAGCGAACGTTGGCGTAACTCCCGGATAAGTTGCCGCCACAATTCAACTCGCCATCGACTGCCTCCGTCGCATTGTTTCCATTCATTCGAGGTATGCATGCACCCTTTGTCGGAGCTTTTGAACGTCATTGTGCTACGAATACCGAGCGAACATATTCGCGTCTCGAGATTGTAACCGTTTAATATAACCACCTGGCATTACAAAAAATGAAATTTGAATGTATTAATGAAATACTAATTTGTTACCAAATAAAACTTTAATTTCTCATGGTGGAAATACCAGATTGGCAGAAGTCTTGAAGTGCGCAATCATTAAGACCATACGCGCAAACAGATGATCGTCAAAACGTAGTTTCTGATTGAGAGATTAACTCTAAATACTTATATATTTCGAAAATTACTGATTAGAATAAAAAATGTTCGAATACTTTTGTTATTTAATTTTTCGGTAACTTTCTTGCCCTAATATATAATTTCGCGAATTTTAAACACTCTGTATATACATTTTTCAATCATAATTTCTAAGAATAATGCAGAAAACTTAACTGCTGCATCATTGCAAATTAATAAATTTTTACGAACCGATATTTTTGTAATATAATATTTACAGATAATTCCGAGATTAAAATAAAAAAAAATTTAACACTCACCGGTACGATGTGAACGGCAGAGTTGTAGAACACACGTGTGATCTGTAAAATACATAAAATACGTGTTGATCTGTAAAATACAAATATATCTAAGTTATATAAAAAAGCTATATCCAAAGTAATAAATATGTTAAAAAATTTTGTATATATATACAGAATGAGTCAGAAATATATTTTAAAATTTCGTGAGCGTTCCTGGATAAAAAGTATGAACAAATGTTCGTATGAACATTAGGCTGAAAATGCTTCGTTAATAATGGATATAAATAAGTATTACAAATAAGTATTCCATTTCACCATACGTACGATGAATATCATTCATTTCTTCAAATGAAAACATTTTCTACACTGTTACAGTAAATTAATGAATCAATATTAATACTGCTCGGTTGAACTGCCTCAAGCATACTGACTTGATTGTACGTTGTCTCTTACTGTATACAGAGACCTACATTAAAACCTCCTTCCCCTTTCAATGGATCGTAGTAGCGTGTGCTGATAAACAAACATTATCCCAGATTCAAAACACTAGAGATACAACACCATGAAAAAGAAGAATCTGATCTGAAACTCAGTCATCTAAATCTATTTGTGTCTTATTTCGATAACGAACCATTTTCGGCCTAATGTTCAGGAACATTTGTTAATACTTTTGTTCGGATTAATTTACACCTCACGGATCGTTTTCATTTTTATATTGTAGAGGGTACATTCCTAAGTAATACACACTTTGAATTTTGTGGCGCTCTCTTCTGGTTCCAGAGATATGCAATTTTGAAGTTTCACAGTTTTAATGCTTTTTCTCAAGTATTATAAAGTAATATTAGGAAAAATGAAATTTGTGTACATTGTATTTGTTGTAGAGCAGACGAAAAAGTGTTTGTTTACATTTACGGGATAGATACACAGCCATGGATATTTTGTCAATAATGTGTTTCGTCTATTTCTCGCAGTTTGTTAACAGCTTTTAATATGCGATTACATGAATTTCTGAGGTTTGGGTCAGGTTATATCTTCCGGAAGTGGAACCCCCCGTGAGGGGGAAGACGGGCTCTAACCCAAATCAAGAAATTCTTAGCGAAACTAAACAGTAATCCAGAAGTGTACTGATAGTGACGTAATAACGAACAAATATAAACAAAAAAATATTAACACACAAGTAGAATATAACGAAAAGATGATACAAGTAAAACGAGAATTATGATACTTCAAAATCGCATATCTCTGGAATCAGAAGAGAGCGCCATAAAATTCAAAGCGTTTGACAACATTTACCATACTTTTTATCCAGGAACACGCTCACGAAGTTTTAAAACATATTTATGACTCACGCTACATATTCTCAATCAAAATCTAATATCAATTTTCTAATAATCGTCAAAGTAATAAGTTCATTAAAATAACAAATACGCAAAAAGAAAGTTATATATCCGAATTTAATTTCTCATGATGAGAATATCAGGTTAATGGAGAAACTGAGAACAGAGGAAAGCAAAAAGATATTTTAAAAACAGAGCTCGCGAATATGTAGAATCGGATCAGGTCGTCGAGATGAAATAAATAATATAACGGAAAGAAAAAGAGCGAAAAAAAAAAAGAAAATTCGTTTGCCTTGGGAGTCCGTTTTACTTCACGTCAAACGGCAAAGGAACATGCTCGCGGCATCCTCTTAAGAGCGCGTCTTTTGCGGCTTTGCGTAATTAATTAAGACGACTCGAGTATTTTACGGGAAACTATCGTTCTCGATAATTGGCCCGAGAACCGATCGCCGATCAATAATTCGTCACGGCAATTGCCGCCGACCGCGAGCGAAAGTAGAGCACCTAATAACCGAACGACGCGACGGCGCAAGGAGATGGCACAAAGCGCCCTTGAATATTCAACCGAAAGCAAATCGACGTCGTATCCGATAGGGAGATAAATACCGAAGTGGATCTCGAATAAATCAGAGAACGGGGAAGAAGGGCGCGCATCGCGTCGGGAAAGGCGAGGCGGAGGGGAAGAGCATTGCACTGGCCGCGATCCAAGAATTTATTCGCCCATGTCGGCGTATAAAAATTTCAACGTTATTAGGATTGGATGCTCCGTCTGGCTCCTGCTCATGTGCTATCCGATGCGACGTGTGTGAGAGCGAGCAGTGTCTCGTCGGTCGACGTTCCGTTTTATTTTTTTTTTTTTTTTTCGGATACAAGAATTTTTTGTTTCCGCCGACTGGCAGAAACGCCAGACGGAAAAAGCGAGGCCGTTTGCGCAAAAATCAGCACACTGCCCTTCTGTTCGTCAAGCTTTTTCACCGTGCCACTTATATCTATCTGGATTTGGAATCGAATACACGACTCGTGGCAACGGTTAACGTGAACGCGTATTCTCAAGTCGGATTAGTCGGCGCGATCGATGGGTCCAGATATCGTTTTCGCTTTTTAAGTTGACGGGAATAAGCACCAAGGATTTTGTAACATTTTCTCTTCGATACGTCCCATTATCGATACGTAAATCGAGATGTTCGCGTCAATACTTCAATCTATTTTGATTCGCAAAATCGTTATTAGATTTTGTTATCTGCACAAACACACAGTTCGCAAGCTGTAAAAATTTACGTAACAAGAGCACGAATTTATTTCCATTTTTGACAGTCGCGCGACGTTTACATGTAAAAAATACGCGAGCATAATCCAGAGTCGGCCGATGGCGAAGCGGCCGCGTCGCGTCGCGCATGCAAAACTCGTCGGAAATAAAAGTTTAACTCGCACATCCCGGAAGTGTTGGCCTCTGATTCACGGTTTTCCGTCCCACGGTAGATGGTAGGTCTTCCTGCCCTACGAATTTCACCGCTCGATCTCTCGTGAATATTGACTGACCCTCGAATGCGAGACGTATCGATTCGATAGAAGCTATACACAGACAAAAGTTCAGAAACAATGCTTAACATCGATTGTGACGACAGGAGAATGGACGCTCCTAGAGATCAGCACGTGATATTTTCCAATGCATCGCTCTTATAGACAAAAGCGAAAGAAAAAAAAAGAATAAAAAGAATGGGAAAAAAAAATTGTTTATTATACCTAAATAAGAATGGAAATAATTAATATTTAGAAACCAAAGGCAATCGAATATCATTAACGTCGATTATCGGGAGATCTTTGTGTGCACACAATTAAATATTTTAAACGATTAGCAAACGATCTTCGCCTCCGCTGTTATATAATCCGCTGTAATATCATCTTTTTTTCTCTTTCACGGAAACATGCATGGATTTGATCGCTCGTGTTTAGATAGAGACAAAAAGTCACTTTTATAACGCACTTTGCGCGCTCATGAATTAATCATGGCTCCAGCTTTCTCCGTCGCGCGATAAATTGAAAAAATTTAAGTAATTCTCCTTCCTAAATGTGTATATAGTATATACGACATACTGATCTACACAATTCTGAAATCATATTGTATTTATCTCGCATGCCTCGCTTTGACGAATTCGGTGAAAATAAATTTTAAAACGCTCAGTATCTTATCATATTGTATTTATCTCGCATGCCTCGCTTTGACGAATTCGGTGAAAATAAATTTAAAACGCTCAGTATCTTTTGTAACTTTTATACGAAAAATTCCGGTCTCGGGAAAACTGGCTAAATAATTTAGCTTAGAGGTGAGCATTTTGAAACGCTTTTCCCAATATCCTTCGGATCGTAAACCGACCTCAAAATACGAAGGCGCATCCTTCGCAATTGAACTTCTCCGTATAACACGCTCGATGAGAGACTCCGGCTAGCTAGTAATGTCCCGGCACAAGTATTAGTCCTCAAACCGCGAAGCATACTTAACAGACTGGAATTGGCTGTTTCGACACTGAGCCGTTCGACATTAGGTCCGCCCGCTTTAGAGAGTACTTCAACCGTTACTCCTGCGAGGTATAAGTACAAGATACTCGGGCTTGTGAATGGTTCTTGCTCGTATCACTTTCGCGCGCAGCTAGGCAGCATATTTAGTAAGATAATACCTGAGAACTTCGGATTAACAATAGATTGGCGCTACAATAGCCAGCGCAATATAGTATATGTTCATTGTTATTATTTAGACTATAGATTCGATGATGACGACCGGTTTCATCTTTCATACCCGAGAGAAATATCTATGACATTTGTTTTAATATATATTTTCGTATTTCAACATTTTTATATTTTAATATTTTCTTATTATAATTTAGCGTTAATTTTCTCTTCATTATAAAATTTAATAATAATAGTATAATAAATCACAAATTTGATTTGCAAACTCAAGAAGTATTATCAATTTTTATGAAACGTAATCGCGTTACTCCTGTCTTTCTCTTGCTCCGCGCGTTATTAATTTTCCTGGAAATATCTTTCGCAAAACATTTACAGTTGCAATTGATACGACGCTCAAGCTATTCGCTCGGAACCAACTGTCCAAGTCTCCAAAGCTTCGGGCAGCGCAAACGAACCCCTAACTTCAGCCGTCGACTCACCCCTCTTCGGCGAAACTTTCGTCTCGGCATAATTCTGTGCCGAGCGCTTCGGTGTCCTCGCAGAAGTACGTACTACTAATTAATCCTTTTAACAGCGCTTAAATTTAATTAATCTCAAAGTTATGTGGTCGATCTCAGTCGCAGGAAACCGCCCCTCGCGTTCCGCCCCTCGCTTTTTGCCCGGTATAATTCGCCCCCTGGAAATCGTATACATTAACTGAGCTTTGGAAATCCGATTTGATAGTCTCCGGTCCCTTTTTCGAGCATTCCCCCTTTTCCCTTCATCGCGGTCTTCCCGTCCTCTCTCTTGCTATTCCCGGAACACATTTCTCTTTCACGACTTATCAACGTCATCTCTCGCGATATGTGTCTCGCGACGCTAATTTTTCCACCGACGTTCACACGATTCTCTTGAAATTACATACACTCTCACATGAAGTCTTTGAAACGGAGGAAGAGTTCCTGCGTATCCCTCCAAACAATTATCCGGCTCCCTCTCTCTCTTTGTAGTCGCTTTCTCTTATTATTTCCTATCCTATCCAGTCGGTACTACAATA